TATGTTATATTACATCCTGGCTTCGGATGGTTGCTATGTTATTGTTATTGTTGAAGATTATTGTGTTGCGTCTTGGGCCCTTATGTTTTACAGCCGGATTGGGCTTGTCAATCCGTGTTTATCTAGAATAGCCTTCTTTTTCTTAGGAAAACTGTTAGGGTTGTATTATAAATATATGCATGCATGTATGCGTATAGTAAGGGTCGTCACTCTCATTGATTATTTGTAAACCCTAAAATCCTCTACAGTTGATGTTCTTTATCGAGCTCTTCTGAGGATTGTTTATTAAATCATTCGACACCTTTTGATCCATTAGCTTGTTCTTAATTGTTTATCTGTTTGTTTCTCTACCTGTTTCATAGATCTAATTGATCTTCAAGTTAGTTTTAATCTCATCAATTGGTATCAGAGCAGGAGGCTGTGTAATCGATACACTTCTTTTCTGTGAAAAAGCTTCGATTAGGGTTATTCCGCATTCATTGATATTTATTGAGCCGTCATCTCATAATTGACGTATCTCAATATTTATTGTTTTTGCCCTAATTTGATATATTACAAGTCTGATCTTTGAACAGGTTATTCGATCAATTATGGACGAGTCGCAATCCAATCCCATCAATATTTCAAACAGCATTGGATCAACAACGAAGATTCCCATCCTGTACACCCATGATTATGAAGTCTGGGCGAATCACTTTGAAGATTATGTCATAGGATCTGAGGATAATGGATACCTCATCTGGGAAGCAATTATCTCTGGACCGTTTTCTCATTCAGCAACTTCAAGGATTATTAAAACTCAAAAAAAAAAAGAATGATCTTCTGAAAGATGTTAAAGATGTAGCGCAAGACGAAAAAGTTAAATTTCAGTGCAATATCAAAGCGCTAAGATTGATTAGATTTGCTCTTCAATCCGATACTTTTAGGCTGGTAAGTTCATGCACGACTGCAAAAGAAATATGGGACAGGCTACGTGAATTGTACTCTACAGATGAAGATCTTGAACACTCCATTCAAACCTTACTCTTGTCTGAGTTTGGTGATTCAAGCAAGGAGCAGAAGAAACGGTGACTCAAACGTTCGATCGCTTCAATCATCTTCTTAGCAAGATGATCAAACATGACATAGAAAGGAAGCTTATTGAACAGAAGGTTACGTTTTTGAATGGACTCAGGTCTGAGTGGAGAGCAATCGTGTCCACAGTTAAAGCACACGAGCAATTCAAATCCTATTCTTTGGCGAAACTGGTGGGCATCCTAAAATCTCAAGAAAAGATCGTACTGCAGGAGAAAACCGTGGTTTCAAGTCTAGGTTCGTTGGCCCTCCTGTCGAAAAGCAAAGCTGTGATAGAGGACGAAGATCTCAACTTGGATGATTATGATCTCACGTCTGAAGACTACGCTATGATGGTGTCAAACCCTAAGAGATTCATCAAGAAGAGATTCCCCACCAACAGGAACCGAAACTGGCAAGGAAGCTATAGCGCTGAAAAGGTCAAAGATGAACCGAAAGCTGAAGAATCAAAGAAGGAACCGAAGGCTGAAGGAGATTCTGGAGTAAGCTGCTATTATTGTGGAGGAAAGAACCACTATGCAAAAGATTGCGTCCTCAAAAAGATGGCAGAAAAGGATGAAGAAAATGATGAAGAAGCGTTGTTGAAAAAGCTTGATGAGTTAAGGAAGAAGAAATCTGCTGCTAACCCTTATGAATGCTTTAATTGTGCAGGGTTCGGTAGCTGATGATGAGTTCGGTGGCGTGGAGGTATGGTCAACCGACTCCGAAGATGATGAAGTGAGGAAGCCTTCACATGGAAAGGCTTATGTAGCGAAAGAAGAAAGCAGTGAAGGAAGATGCTTGATGGTGTCCGACGTTTCCCAGATGAGGGGATACAACACTGATGGTGGGAATGATGACAAGGAACAGCAGAATCTGTGCTTTACTGCCAAACCACTCAGCGTGCAGTTCAGCGAACTTGATGAACTGATCAAGAAGGTACAATCAGTTTTTGTCTCATTTAAAGTCCCACTATGCTCATATGAAAAGGAACTAAAAAGTGTTAATTCGAGAATCTCTCATCTAGATAGTAGTTTAACTCAAACTCGGGTCACCAATTCTAACCTAACTGATCAATTAAGCAGGGTGTCTTCGAAGAGTGAGGAACGGCGGATGTGGATCGAACTGAAGGAGTCGGAGTTAATCAAAATAAAAGATGAAAACATTTATTTGCAAAGAGACAATTTAAAGCTTTTGAAACAGCGAAATGTTTTTTGTCTAATTGCCAAACGTCTTTATTCTAATATTACTCAGCTTCATTTGAATTGTGAAATAGGGCAAAAGATTCATCGCATGATTTTACCCTTTCTTGAGTTTAAGGAAGATGAAATTGATGCTGATGCTTATAATTGTGAGAGTATTATTTCGTCTGAGGATGTTAATCCAACATATTTGTATGGACTGGACAAAATAGAATCTTTCATAAAATCCAAGGACCACAAGAACATGCTCAAAAATCTTTTGGATGAAAATGATAAACTGAAGCTAAGAACCGAAACCATACAAAAATTCGACTCACTGAATGTCAATTTAAGCTCAGAAAATAAGATTGATGTTGAAAATGCATCTGAGCTTAATGAAGACGATAATATGAGTGAAATTTCTGTAGAGGACACAGTTGATTGTTCAGAATTTGTCAAGAATGAACCCGAGAACCACAAAAATCTTATTTCAGAAAATTCTGTGGAGTTTGCTCGGTTGTCCCAACAAAAGTCCCCGATTCTTGTAGAGAAGGCAGTCGTATACCAAAAAGTTAGAACCACTCCGAATCAGGTGTACAAAGTCACAGGTGTAACGAACATCAGACTGCTGAACTAACAGCTATTGTGAACGAAGACAATGCTGATGGCTGTGACGAGTTCTTCTGGTCAGCTCCCATTGACAATGCTGATGAAACGGTAGGTCTGTCTGAAAGGACTTCATGGAAAAGCAAAGGCAGATACATACCAGAACCTTTAAATAAACCTGATGGCTTCAACGTGGCAAGTACCAGTGGAACTAAAGATGTCCCTCAAGAGAAAGAAATTCCTGCAAAAGAAGTCACATCTCCAAGTGAAACAACATCGGTTCAGAGTGGATCAGCCAATGAAAATCAAAAACATAAAGCTAACATCCATCATCAACCAAAGCAGATGACAAGTCAAAAACGGAAAGGAATCAGAGATACAGGAAGAATCTCTCAGAAAGAAAACAATTTTGGCAATCGCAAAATGCCTATTTCTCACATCAAGACAGGAATTTGAAACCAGCGAAAAATCCTGTTGGATCGACGGAGGGTAATAACAACCGAAAGCAGAAGTTCGGTTCAGACAAAACAACAACCGAAAGCAGAGTCTCGGTTCTGAGCGAAACAATAACCGAAAGCAGAGTCTCGGTTCTGAGCAAAACAACAACCGAACGCATAGATTCGGTTCAGAAAATGATTTCAACCGAAAGCACAGGTTCGGTTCGGAGAGCAAAAGAGACCAAAAGTCTAGGGTTGGTTCCACTGATAATCAAAACCAAAAGAGTCACCTAGAATATCAAATCAAGAAATCATCTAGGTCTAAA